CCAGTGCAGAGTGTTGGGACTAGCTGAATTGGGGGGAAAAAACAGTTTACCTATTTTTCCAACTATGTTATGCCAGGGTCTATATATTAAGTTAAACTAAAAACTAAATTGCCAAAGTTAGTCAAATTAGGCAAGCTGAGTTGGTGAATTTTTCCATGTTTTATCTAATTTTTAAAATTTGTTTACTGAGTGAGTTTACTGAGTGAACGCCACAATTTTTCCCAAATCAGGAATTGTGAAAAAATCTCAGGATTTGACAAGGGAATTCAAATTTTAAGTAAAAAAAAGTCTAAACATCATCTACTTGGTAATTTTTCCACATTAATTATTGTTTTAATAAGTTAGCAATGCTCTGGTTAATTCTCTGGACAGTTCTTGTTACACAATACCAGTGGTGTAGGAAGTAGGAATAAAACAAATTAAAGGGACTCTACAGGCCTCTAGACCACTACATCTCAATCATTCCAAGGGAAAGGCAATGTTTTACATTGCAGTGTTACCCTGCCTCTATTGACTGTCATACTGGCAGCCACTAGAGGTGCTTCTGCCAAAATAGAGTAAAACCATCTGATTTGTATAGTACAGCATTTTGCTGTGCACTAGCTTCCCAATAATTTACTACAGGAAAGCAGTGGATTGGCTGAGATCATCGATCTTGATGATCTAAGCCAAAGAGGAGTGTGGCGGAACCAACCTCGCCACTATGCACTGGAGAAGCCTGGTTGCTCGCCTGCTCCCTTTAGACTATGGCCCTGCAGTTCAGACCTGTTATTTTCCCCGCTGAAAGGTTTATTCGTGCCTTTCTGGCAGGGTGTTCTGTAGATTAACAAACTACCGAACGATGGACCACCTGGAAACTGGAGTGTGTCGTCAATTGACCGCCAAAAATTGCGGTTAACCGCAGCTTAATTGATGAACGCTGGGTGGCCTTTGTTCGGTTGCTGAACACGTGGCAGCAGCCATTTTACCTCCCGAACAGCCAGCGGTGTTCAGCGCCCAAACTATGGAACTGAAAACGGACACTTATTGGCGCGAACACCGCTGAGCAGCCAGCCTCCTTACCTTCTTATTCGGTAGCTGAACCGAATGACTGTTCATTCGGTAATTTAACCGGGTGTACAGCATCACCCCAGATAGCTAAGCCATGGAGCCTGTTCGTGTAACGAAAGACTATGTGAAAGACTTTGGCTCCATGGCGATTAAAATGTATGTATGTGATCTGAGCGCCATTCGGTAGTAATATGCGCTCAGATCTAAGCTATCTGGGGATATGTAGAATATCTATGTTTTATGTTGTAAATGTAACTGTATGTAATGTTATGTATTTTACTGTCTTTTTAATACCATGTGGTTAATGGAGTTTTGCCTCTGTCCGTGTAGATAATTGGATTACTTCCCAATTATCTCCAGGACAGAGAGGAGGGATTGTGATGCATTGTGGGATGGCTGAAATCATTTGTTTAAGAAAGGGTTAAAGGGCAAAATCTGGTAGAAGAACTAAATAGAAAGTATATATTGGAAATAGGATAAATATTGTTTTCTTAGCTGATATGTGTCTATATTAATATAACATATATGATGATATGTTTTATTCTACAGTAAAAAATCAAGCACTCAATTCTTTTTTTTGCTGTAGAAAACTTATGATGTATTATATAATTCGTTTTAGATTAGTTCCATTTCTTATATATAAAAACAAAAAAAATTACTAAAACATGTGAGTTTCAGCCTGTGTGCATGTGACTATAATACAGTATCTCACAAAAGTGAATACACCCCTCACATTTTTGTAAATATTTTATTATAACTTTTCATGTGACAACATTGAAGAAATGACACTCTGCTACAATGTAAAGTAGTAAGCGCCCTCAAAGAGATATTGGCTATATCTCACTGATTATGCCTGACTAGGTTGAAATGATCATCTGGGGATGCCAAATCTCTCGTGCAGAGAGAGCCAGCCTGTATTTCGGATTTTTTCTGCCCTTTTGGGTGGAATCAGTTTGCAGGGCCGGACTGGCCCAACGGGATACCGGGAAATAGAGAGACATAGGGCAAGGGGGTAATAGAGAGACATAGGGCAAGGGGGATAATAGAGAGACATAGGGCAAGGGGGGACACATAGACAGATGGGGTAATAGAGATGGACAAAGAGAAGGGTAATAGAGAAACACCAGGGAACGGGGGACAAAAAGACAGAGGGGTAATAGAGAGACACAGGGGATGGGGGTACAAAGAGACAGAGGGGTAAGAGAGAGATACAGGGAGGAGATGGGGACGAGAGTCAAAGGGAGGAGAGGGGAGAAACAGACACACAGAAGGTTTGTTGGGGGGACAAAGAGACATACAGTAGGGAAGGGAAACAAAGTGATACAAGATTTGTGGGAGGCAACGCTGGGCTGGGGAAAAAGAGACAGAGAGTGGTTGGGAGAAGAGACAGAGGCACACAGAGTCTGGAGTTGGAAAGAGACACAGATGAGATTTGGAAGGGGAGAAAGAGACAAAGTGACTGGGGCTAAGAACAACACAAAAGGGGCTGTGGGAAAGAGGAATACAGAGGCTGGAGAAGGGTAAAAAGAAACACATAGGGGCTGGGATGAAGTAAAAGATGCTCAAGGGTTGCTGCAAGAGGAGACAATTGGAGACAAGATACATTAAACGAGGTAAAGGTAATCAACGTAAATTGATGTGTATATATATATATATATAATGAGCACGTATTGGCCCTGTCTTGTTGCTAGTTGCATACTCATGCACAATAACATATTTAAAGTGAAGAGCGCACCCATAGAACTTCAAAATAAACAAGATAATTTCATTTTTTTTAGTTGTGCAACTGCAGACATTCAGCATTTCAGTACCATTACTAAAATGTCCTTAATAGGCCAAATTAGTTGTACTGAAACATGCAAATGGACGTCTACTTAAAATAAAGGCGCTCTTTTGTTTATTTTGAAGCCCTATATGCGTTCTTTCGTTGGAGTAAGAGTTTTCGATTTCAAGTTATTTTTTCACCCTCTATATCAGCACACTATGCTGGCGCGACGCATTATTGGGCTGGTATAGAATTTTTTTCCAGGGTTGCTTTTAGTTCCCAGTCCGGCCCTGTCAGTTTGAGATGCAAATGGCCTGGTTCTCTCTGTAATGGCACAAGATGAGCTAAAACCAGCTTGAGAACTGAGTGGGGACCCACCGAAGGGCAGGCTAATTGAGCTGTTGTCCATTTTCAGCACTTTCTTGCAACTTGTTTTTTGCTCTCCTTAAATTTAAAGGGTAATCCAGACCTGGACCCCTTGCTCACGGTGCTTAGAGAGATATTGACTATACCTCACTGATGATGCCTAACTAAGTTGAAACGATCATCTGGGGTTGCTGTATCTCTCGTGCAGAGAGAGACGGCCTGTATTTCACATCTGTTCTGCCCTTTTGGGTGGAATCAGTTTGAGATTCAAATGGCCTGGTTCTCTCTGTAATGGCACAAGATGAGCTAAAACCAGCTTGAGTTCTGAGCGGGGACCCACCGAAGGGCAGGCTATTTTAGCTGTTGTCCGTTCTCAGCACTCTCTTGTAACTTGTTTTTTGCTCTATATAATTAAATATTTACAAAAATGTGAGGGGTGTACTAACCTTTGTGAGATACTGTATGTATTCTTTTTTTAAGTTGAAGACATTCATCTGCACTAAACCTGGGCTATTGTTTGGAATATTCTATTTTCAGATGGTGGCAGAATACTTGAAATTGTTGAAGCAAACACTGTTATTTAAGTAGGTAAGTCGCCTAATTTATCTCCTCTGTTTTCTAGTCTGAGGCAATGTTGGGTACACTAAGTAACACAGCTAGCAAGAACAGTTTAAATATAAAAGGCATCCAGTTACCTGGTTATATAGAAAAATACTAAACTGACCTTTTGTGTAAAACTCTTTTAAAGTTGACAGGGCTCAGTTGGCTATTGTCAGTGGTGTATTTTGGATTTGTGCTGCCCTAGGCATGACGAAACATGGGCACCCCCTAATCTAAATTTGCTCCACCCCTTCCTGTCAAGGCCGCACCTCTTCCTATTTAAGGCCAACACGCACTTTGACTGACAGTCACACACTCTGAGATACACATACACTGACATAAACACACACTCAGTGATTTGACACACACATACTCACTGATTTGACACACTGGCCGACACACAATCATTTAGAAACACATATACAGACACACGCAATGACTGTTTTTCTGAGTGATTGTGTGTGTCTGTCAGTGAATGTGTGTGCGTGTCTATCAAACACACACAATCACATTTAGAAACACACATACAGACACACACACTAACAGACACACCCAGACATACACTGTCAGACACACACATTCACTTACAGACACAGATACTCACTCACCAAACAAACACTTATAGACACACACTAACATATATATATATACTGACAGACACACATATTTGCTAGCAGACATACACACATTCACTAACAGACATACACTGGCAGACACACACACAATCACTGACAGACACACTCACTGTTAGTGATTTGACACGCACATACTCACTGATTTGATACATTGACCAACACACACAATCATTCAGTAACACACATACAGACACACACACTGACTGTGTTTCTGAGTGATTGTGTGTGTCTGTCAGTGAATGTGTGTGTGTGTCTATCTATCAGACACACAATCACATTTAGAAACACACATACAGACACACACACTGACTGACAGACACCCTGACAGACACACACACATTCACTGACAGACACATACTAACAGACACACTCAGACATACACTGCAGACACACACACATTCACTGACAGACACACTCACTAATAGTGAGTGTGTCTGTCAGTGAATGTGTGTGTGTCTGCAGTGTATGTCTGTTAGTGAGTGTGTCTGTCAGTGAACATGTGTGTGTCTGCCAGTGTATGTCTTTTAGTGAGTTTGTCTAACAGACATACACTTGAAGACACACACACTAACACACACTGCACACACTCAGACATACACTGCAGACACACACACATTCACTGACAGACACACTCACTAATAGTGAGTGTGTCTGTCAGTGAATGTGTGTGTGTCTGCAGTGTATGTCTGTTAGTGAGTGTGTCTGTCAGTGAATGTGTGTGTGTCTGCAGTGTATGTCTGTTAGTGAGTGTGTCTGTCAGTGAACATGTGTGTGTCTGCCAGTGTATGTCTTTTAGTGAGTTTGTCTAACAGACATACACTGGTAGACACACATACATTAACTGACAGACACACTCACTAACAGACATACACTGGCAGACACACACACATTCACTGACAGACACACTCACTAACAGACATACACTGGCAGACACACACACATTCACTGACAGACACACACTTGCAGACACATACATTCATTGAGACAAACCCTGGTTCTGACAGATTCACACTCACAAAACATTGCTTCACACATTCACAAATTGTTAATTTATTGTATTAACTGAAATCCACCCAGCCTCCCTACCTTTGGGAGAGCTGGAGTGGATTCTTTCCCTGGGGTCCAGTGGGGCTTCTGGGCTGGCTGCTGCCTCCTGGAAGCTGCTGGGCTCCTGTGTTGCAGGGTGGATGGGTGGCCAGTCACTGCATATGGCGAGGGAACTGTAATCTTCCTGTTCAGCAACCTCGCGCGCTGCTGAGTGATGCTGGGAGTCGGAATTACTTCATATTCCTGGCTCCGGCAACAACTCTGGGCCGTCCAGCTTTTGGGTCCCCATGAAAGAGGCTAACAAGACATGTGCCAGGGCACTTAAAGGACCACTATAGTGCCAGGAAAACATACTCGTTTTCCTGGCACTATAGTGCCCTGAGGGTGCCCCCACCCTCAGGGACCCCCTCCCGCCCGGCTCTGGAAGGGGGAAAGGGGTAAAAACTTACCTTTTTCCAGCGCTGGGCGGAGAGCTCTCCTCCTCCTCTCCGCCTCCTCCGCCCCGGCTGAATGCGCACGCGCGGCAAGAGCTGCGCGCGCATTCAGCCCGTCGCATAGGAAAGCATTTACAATGCTTTCCTATGGACGCTTGCGTGCTCTCACTGTGAAAATCACAGTGAGAAGCACGCAAGCGCCTCTAGTGGCTGTCAATGAGACAGCCACTAGAGGATTAGGGGGAAGGCTTAACCCATTCATAATTATAGCAGTTTCTCTGAAACTGCTATAATTATGAAAAAATGGGTTAACTCTAGCTGGACCTGGCACCCAGACCACTTCATTAAGCTGAAGTGGTCTGGGTGCCTAGAGTGGTCCTTTAAGGGGTGGCATTTTTTGCTGCCCCATTAAAGGATCACTATAGGGTCAGGAACACAAACATGTATTCCTGACCCTATAGTGTTAACACCACCATCTAGCCCCCCTGGGCCCCTCATGGCTCCATAAATATAGCAAAATCTTACTTCAAGCCAGAAGCTATTAGACTTCTGTTAGACTCAGAAAAACAAGCAGTCTGCTGACATCATCAGAAGTGGTAGCCTGATCCAATCACAGTGCTTCCCCATAGGATTGGCAGAGGCTGACAAGGAGCCAGATCAGGGGCAGAGCCAGCATGATTCAAACACAGCCCTGGCCAATCAGCATCTCCTCATAGAGATGAATTGAATCAATGAATCTATATGAGGAAAGTTCAATGTCTTCATGCAGATGGAGGATATAATGAATGTTTAGATGCACTTTAGACAGCCATGACCCAGGAAGGATCTCTAACAGCCATCTGAGGAGTGGCCAGTGAAGTTACTAGGCTGTAATGTAAACACTGCATTTTCTCTGAAAAGACAGTGTTTACAGCAAAAAGCCTGAAGGTAATGATTCTACTCACCAGAACAAATTCACTAAGCTGTAGTTGTTCTGGTAACTATAGTGTCCCTTTAAAGTGCCGCCCAAGGCAAATGCCTTGTTAGCCTCACTGTAAATACAGCGCTGGCTATTGTAGAGTTAAAGTGCAAGCTTTTCAGACGGTTAACCTCTGTGTATTGCCAATATAGACTTTGCTACTTTATTGCCTATAACGTTGGCATTAAGTGATATATAAGTGGTATCCATGTATTCATAAGGCATTCCACTAAGGTTGCCAGATACACCTTGACATTCTGCACTCATCATGTAATTGGGGGAATATGCAGCATATGAATTCTACATACTGGAGCTCAGCATTTTCTGTGTGCTGCCCTTTAAGTGATGGAGTGCTATGGAAAACATGACAACCATAACTGCAAATACTGCTGGGCCACACGTCCTATTTGCCAACAGACAGATAAGACTATTAGCTCTCAGTGTCTGTCTGTGGGGAATGGCTGCAATCTCAATACAAGGTAGCCAACGCCCTACCTTGCGGCAACCTACCTGCAGCCACATTGCTAGCAGTGCCCTGACTGGGCCATCAATCAAATGCAAGTTAAGTGCTCTGTAGAGTTTGCACTGGAAGATAATGTGAGTGCAGTAATGTGAGCGTCTACCGTTATTAGGCACTTCTAAAAAAAAAAAAAAATACACTGTTACTTTGAGATTAGAATAGGGGCAGCTGCTGGTGCTGAGATTTAAATTTGGCATGGTTTGTATCATGAGCACAGATGTCATGACCCACCAGATCATGACCCACTAACTATAAGCCTACAACGCCCATCTCCACTGTCCCACCACAATGGTCTGTAAAAGGAATGGAGAATCAGAGAATAAGAAGCATACAATTGTAGGTCTACAAGGGCCCCTTAACCTCCCTGTCGCTATGTGCTTATGATTCACTTGTGGTGTAATAGTTAACAGGTTACGGCAAGCACAGAAGCAGATTAGTTAAAACGAGCCAGTTGCTTATGAATAATGGATGATGTGTCTGGATTTAATCATATTTTATTGCACACAAATTCAACCGAGCCCCTTATCAGCTAATATAGTGAATTTTAAGTCAAGATATTTTTCGTAACTTCTGAAACCAATGATGTTTTTGGCAAATCTAGAATCCAAGAAAGTGCAGCCGTGAATCCGTGATTGGTGATAAATAGCATATTCCACATATGGTCCATCATGTATTCTTGTTTTAAGAATTTTTATTGCTAATGCAAGCCTGAGATCAGAATGTCCGTTTATTCTTTCATTCCCTGCGTCCAACAGACAGTTACCAACTCATCTGGATCACCACACAATGAGACAAAATTCTTCATAACAAGGGGTTTAAACCACAAACAAACAATCTCATTTGAGTAGGACCTCTCTATCTTCATTTCCTGAACATCAAATCTGCATATGTCATAAACTCCCTATACAGGCAGCACTATGTAAAATGATGGATCGGAATAAATATTATATCAATATTAATAATGAGGTCACTGACAGTTCTATGACAGATGGATGCACAGCTTCTCCATTCATTCAAAACAAACTAAACTCCCAAACCTACATAGTATACATCTCTGGACATTGTATAGTGAGATCAAAGGTCACATGAAACAGCAGATATTTTAATAGGTAGAAACATGCACATGTTAGATCAATCAAGGGGTATTCATATTCCACAGATGGTTGTGAAGCCACCAAAACCTCAGCAAAGAGTTTGGCCGAACTTGAAGGCTGAGGGCGCAACATGAATCAGTCTACTGCAAAACACGAATATATATTATGTGTACATTGCGGTATTTTCCTGCCATTTGGTTCACAGATCAAGTGAAAATAAGAAACAAATAGAAGTAAAATGAAGAGGAACCGGAACATATCAATATGGTTTGTTAGAGCTGAGCAGATTTCAAAAATAGCCAATATCTGCTTCCAACCCTACCTTTACTCAGAGTTAGATGGTCAATACAATATTATAAATGATGATAGATAGTGTAATACTATCCATCATATAATGGCTGTGGATATAATCTCCCCTTTTAATTTATTTTGTTCTTTTTGAGTTTATTATATACATTTTTCTGTGTTACTCTTTGGACAAAAACTGTTCATCAAAGCAAACTCACTATACCCATTACAAAAGGGGCACTCCAGGCACTGTGTAGGTTAGGTTACAGTTAGTTATACTGGGTGGGTTTATATTATTAAAGGGACACTCCAGGCTCCCACACACGTTAGGTGCACTGTGTAGGTTAGGTTACAGTTATACTGGGTGGGTTTATATTATTAAAGGGACACTCCAGGCTCCCACACACATTAGATGCACGTTAGGTGCACTATGTAGCTTAGGATACAGTTAGTTATACTGGGTGGGTTTATATTATTAAAGGGACACTCCAGGCTCCCACACACGTTAGATGCACTGTGTAGGTTAGGTTACAGTTAGTTATACTGGGTGGGTTTATATTATTAAAGGGACACTCCAGGCTCCCACACACGTTAGATGCACTGTGTAGGTTAGGTTACAGTTAGTTATACTGGGTAGGTTTATATTATTAAAGGGACACTCCAGGCTCCCACACACGTTAGATGCACTGTGCAGGTTAAGCTATAGTTAGTTTTACTGGGTGGGTTTATATTATTAAAGGGACACTCCAGGCTCCCACACACATTAGATGCACTGTGTAGGTTAGGTTACAGTTAGTTATACTGGGTGGGTTTATATTATTAAAGCGACACTCCAGGCTCCCACACACGTTAGATGCACTGTGCAGGTTAGGCTATAGTTAGTTTTACTGGGTGGGTTTATATTATTAAAGGGACACTCCAGACTCCCACACACGTTAGATGCACTGTGTAGGTTAGGTTACAGTTAGTTATACTGAGTGGGTTTATATTATTAAAGGGACACTCCAGGCTCCCACACACGTTAGATGCACTGTGCAGGTTAGGCTATAGTTAGTTTTACTGGGTGGGTTTATATTATTAAAGGGACACTCCAGACTCCCACACACGTTAGATGCACTGTGTAGGTTAGGTTACAGTTAGTTATACTGAGTGGGTTTATATTATTAAAGGGACACTCCAGGCTCCCACACACGTTAGATGCACTGTGCAGGTTAGGCTATAGTTAGTTTCACTGGGTGGGTTTATATTATTAAAGGGACACTCCAGACTCCCACACACGTTAGATGCACTGTGTAGGTTAGGTTACAGTTATTATACTGAGTGGGTTTATATTATTAAAGGGACACTCCAGGCTCCCACACACATTAGATGCACTGTGTAGGTTAGGTTACAGTTAGTTATACTGGGTGGGTTTATATTATTAAAGGGACACTCCAGGCTCCCACACACGTTAGATGCACTGTGTAGGTTAGGTTACAGTTAGTTATACTGGGTGGGTTTATATTATTAAAGGGACACTCCAGGCTCCCACACACGTTAGGTGCACTGTGTAGGTTAGGTTACAGTTAGTTATACTGGGTGGGTTTATATTTTTAATGGGACACTCCAGGCTCCCACACACGTTAGATGCACTGTGTAGGTTAGGTTACAGTTAGTTATACTGGGTGGGTTTATATTATTAAAGGGACACTCCAGGCTCCCACACACGTTAGATGCACTGTGTAGGTTAGGTTACAGTTAGTTATACTGGGTGGGTTTATATTATTAAAGGGACACTCCAGGCTCCCACACACGTTAGATGCACTGTGTAGGTTAGGTTACAGTTAGTTATACTGGGTGGGTTTATATTATTAAAGGGACACTCCAGGCTCCCACACACGTTAGATGCACTGTGTAGGTTAGGTTACAGTTAGTTATACTGGGTGGGTTTATATTATTAAAGGGACACTCCAGGCTCCCACACACGTTAGATGCACTGTGTAGGTTAGGTTACAGTTAGTTATACTGGGTGGGTTTATATTATTAAAGGGACACTCCAGGCTCCCACACACGTTAGATGCACTGTGTAGGTTAGGTTACAGTTAGTTATACTGGGTGGGTTTATATTATTAAAGGGACACTCCAGGCTCCCACACACGTTAGGTGCACTGTGTAGGTTAGGTTACAGTTAGTTATACTGGGTGGGTTTATATTATTAAAGGGACACTCCAGGCTCCCACACACATTAGATGCACTGTGTAGGTTAGGTTACAGTTAGTTATACTGGGTGGGTTTATATTATTAAAGGGACACTCCAGACTCCCACACACGTTAGATGCACTGTGTAGGTTAGGTTACAGTTAGTTATACTGGGTGGGTTTATATTATTAAAGGGACACTCCAGGCTCCCACACACGTTAGGTGCGCTGTGTAGGTTAGGTTGCAGTTAGTTATACTGGGTGGGTTTATATTTTTAATGAGACACTCCAGGCTCCCACACACGTTAGATGCACTGTGTAGGTTAGGTTACAGTTAGTTATACTGGGTGGGTTTATATTATTAAAGGGACACTCCAGGCTCCCACACACGTTAGATGCACTGTGTAGGTTAGGTTACAGTTAGTTATACTGGGTGGGTTTATATTATTAAAGGGACACTCCAGGCTCCCACACACGTTAGGTGCACTGTGTAGGTTAGGTTACAGTTATACTGGGTGGGTTTATATTATTAAAGGGACACTCCAGGCTCCCACACACATTAGGTGCACTGTGTAGGTTCTGTTACAGTTAGTTATACTGGGTGGGTTTATATTATTAAAGGGACACTCCAGGCTCCCACACACGTTAGATGCACTGTGTAGGTTAGGATACAGTTAGTTATACTGGGTGGGTTTATATTATTAAAGGGACACTCCTGGCTCCCACAGACTTCAGGTGCTCTTTGTAGGTTAGATTACAGTTAGTTATACTGGGTGGGTTTATATTATTAAAGGGACACTCCAGGCTCCCACACACGTTAGATGCACTGTGTAGGTTAGGTTACAGTTAGTTATACTGGGTGGGTTTATATTATTAAAGGGACACTCCAGGCTCCCACACACGTTAGATGCACTGTGTAGGTTAGGTTACAGTTAGTTATACTGGGTGGGTTTATATTATTAAAGGGACACTCCAGGCTCCCACACATGTTAGGCACACTGTATATGTTAGGTTACAGTTAGTTATACTGGGTGGGGTTATATTATTAAAGGGACACTCCAGGCTCCCACACATGTTAGGCACACTGTATATGTTAGGTTACAGTTAGTTATACTGGGTGGGTTTATATTATTAAAGGGACACTCCAGGCTCCCACACACGTTAGGTGCACTGTGTAGGTTAGGTTACAGTTAGTTATACTGGGCGGGTTTATATTATTAAAGAGACACTCCAGGCTCCCACACACGTTAGATGCACTGTGTAGGTTAGGTTACAGTTTGTTATACTGGATGGGTTTATATTATTAAAGAGACACTCCAGGCTCCCACACATGTTAGGCGCACTGTATATGTTAGGTTACAGTTAGTTATACTTTATATTATTAAAACCTTTAACCTCTGGGAAAATAAAGAAAAGTCCAAGGAATCTAAAAAGAAATAAGAAATAAACAATGGGTCAAAGCCTTGTTAACACAGATAAACTGTGGCCCATCATAACACTAATTTGGCAAACATTTTTATGACTTTTGAAAAGTGTTTCAAATATTTTGTTATGAGTTTCAAGTTTCTAGAAACTTATCTCTAATTCTCCAAAGCAAGGAAAAACAGAATCAAAAAAAGTGTAAAATTTGGAAGGATTAGTCCAAGCAATTTCCTGTTCTGTCACGTCTTCTGTTTTGTGTTTTTTTTATTCTGCCTCTAAATGGTTTGTTTTTCATGTGTCTGTAAAATGTTAGAGAGATTAGTTTAAAGGAAACTTATACCCCAAATTCAGTAAATTTATACCCCAAATAACCTATATAAAGACTATGCCTCCTTCCAGACATTTTCATAAATTATGTTGTAGTTCATTCTTATTTTTTCTCAGGCCATGACACAGTAGATGTCTCTGAGTTTGCAATAAGCTTACCATTGCTGTTGGAACATTACAAGCCTATATGTCATTCATTGGACTATGAACATAAAGAATTAAAAAAAAAAAAATCTCCTAAAGGTTCCTGAGATTTCTACAGATCTTCTGTATTACTTTATATTAATGTTGAGACTGAACTGCAATTTGTCCAAATTCCAAAGTTCCAAGAGAAAATAAAACACTCCATGACAAACATGTTCAGGAGGATCAACAATCTGAATTCTGTCTGTGGAGCCAAAAAAGAAATGATTGATGGGAAAAAGATGATTGATGGCTAAGGTACAGTCACTAAATGTTTATTTTGTTCACACATTTATATATTTATTTAACATGTTTATAAATGATCTTGAAGACCGCATTGAAAGTCATGTTTCAGTGTTTGCTGGTGACACCTAACTTTGTAAAACAATACAATGTGAGCAAGATATTACTTTGCTGCAGAGGGTTTTAGATAGACTGGGGGACTGGGCACTCAAATGGCAGATGAAATTTAATGTTGAAAAATGCAAAGTTATGCACTTCGGCGTAAAGAATACACAAGCAACGTATACCCTTAATGGAAGCGAATTAGGGATAACAACACATGAAAAGGACTTGGGAATTGTTATAGACAACAAACTATGCAACAATGTGCAATGTCAATCAGCAGTGGCCAAGGCCAGTAAGGTATTGTCATGCATGAAAAAGGGCATTCATTCTCGGACAAGAATATAATTTTGCCTCTTTATAAATCACTGGTAAGACCTCATATTGAATATGCTGTGCAATTTTGGGCACCTGTTCTAAAGAAGGATATTATGGCACTAGAAAAAGTGCAGAGGCGGGCTACAAAATTAATAAAAGGAATGGAACATATCGGCTATGAAGAAAGGTTAACAAATTTAGACCTATTTAGTTTAGAAAAATGTCGCCTGAGAGGGGATATGATAACATTATACAAATATATTTGGGGCCAATACAAACCATTGTGTGGAAATCTATTCACAAACCGGACTTTACATAGGACACGAGGCCATGCGTTTAGTCTGGAAGAAAGAAGATTTTGTCTAAGGCAAAGGAAAGGTTTTTTTACTGTAAGAACAATCAGGATGTGGAATTCTCTGCCTGAGGAAGTGGTTTTATACAGATGTTCAAACAGCTACTAGATGCATACTTGCAAGAACAGAATATTCAAGGATATAATCTTTCAATGTAGGGTAATAACTGCTTGATCCAAGGATAAATCTGACTGCCATTCTGGGGTCAAGAAGGAATTTTTTTCCTAGCTTGTTGCAAAATTGTGCTTCAAACTGGGTTTTTTTGCCTTCTTTTGGATCAACAGCAAAAAACAAATGTGAGGTAGGCTGAACTTGATGGACGCAAGTCTCTTTTCAGCTATGTAACTATGTAACTATATGGTCTGTCCGGAAATAGTCCAGCCATTGTTAAAGGACCACTCTAGGCACCCAGACCACTTCAGCTTAATGAAGTGGTCTGGGTGCCTGGTCCCTCTAGGATTAACCCTTTTTTTTAATAAACATAGCAGTTTCAGAGAAACTGCTATGTTTATAAATGGGTTAATCCAGCCTCTAAAGCCTCTAGTGGCTTTCTCATTGACAGCCGCTAGAGGCGTTTGCGTGCTTCTCACTGTGAAAATCACAGTGAGAAGACTCAAGCGTCCATAGTAAAGCATTATGAATGCTTTCCTATGAGACTGGCTGAATGCGTGTGCAGCTCCTGCCGCGCATGCGCATTCAGCCAAAGAGGAGGATCGGAGGCGGAGAGGAGGAGGAGAGCTCCCCGCCCGGCGCTGGAAAAAGGGTAAGATTTAATCCTTTCCTCTCCCCAGAGCCCGGCGGGAGAGGGACCCTGAGGGTGGGGGCACCCTCAGGGCACTATAGTGCCAGGAAAACAAGTATGTTTTCCTGGCACTATAGTGGTCCTTTAATATAACGAGAATGGTTTGCGTGATATCGATGTAACCTGGCAGATAAGGACAGTGGTCTGGGATGTGCTTGCATGAGCAATGACAACTTCATTGTCATGTGTACTGTGTGGGCGTCACATTCAGAATACTGAACAAGTTGAGTAACAAACAAACATTTTGATTTAAGCTTGAACATTCCACCGCAAAAACTATTCGGATGATTCAGAAGGCTTTCAGGAATGAAGCACTAAATGTGTGGCACAAATGCTTCAAAGATGGTTGAGAATCTGTTAAAAGTGATCCACATTCTGGAAGGCCGACAACAAGCTGAACACCTGAGAATGTTAAACAAAGTCACAGCAAGATCAAGGCCATGTTAAATTTTTTTCAAATTTATCTTTTATTGTTTTAGTCAAAATGGTTCGGGGTACAGAAGAGAAGATAGGAGGGTTAGTCAGACAAGTGTCACTTTCATCGTGACATTAATGGTTACGTAACAGCATATTACAAGTACGCGTTGGATATTTGTTTCATTGTGACATTAATGGTTACGAGACATCATAATACAAATACGTGTTGAACATTGTTTCATTGTGACATTAATGGTTATGAGACAGCATAATACAAATATGTGTTGAATATTCATTTTATCGTTACCTTAACAATGAATTGTCAATGGCGAGAGAGAGCATTAGTTGTCTCATAGCTCCTCCCGTCTCCTCAAGAGTCTGGGTGGTATGAACCTGTTTTGGGGGTCAAGAACCTGGGAGGGGAGCCAAAAGCGGAGAGGAGGGGACTGTAGGGGGGTTGGGGGAAGGGGGGTAGGGAAAGGGAGAGGTGCGTGAGTAATACCTATGGTCGCTTGGTTGGTATCCTAACCTGGGGTCAGTGTTATGGTGGGGGGGAAGGGGTAGTTCGGGATATGCTCTTAGTCAGTGCTTTTGTCAGTGTTTGCCAGTGGTTGTGCCCTTTCTTTTGTCCTTCCAAACTCTTTCTCCCATTTTCCCTAAGTAGCCTCAAATTGTAGTATTTTTTTCGAGGATGTGATTGCCATTGTTAACTGTGATTTTTGATTGGGAGGTTGTTGTCCATCATGAGTACGCTCCTCCTGGCCAAATAATTAATAAGGAGTGCTACCTTATGTTATGTTCTTTGGTTAAGAGATACAATACAACTAAACTGGCCTCACCGATGGGCAACTTGTTGATTGGTAGCTTCATCACAACAATGCAACTAGCCAACTACAACTATAACCAAAACTATGTGTAACAAAATGTATTGAATGGGCTTTTATAAAAAAAAGCAAGAAAAAAACATTCTTAAGTCCCCTTCAGCCCCCACGGGTGGTGGGCAGTAACTATCAATATAGTAATGGGAGTTACTTCACATTGCCCCCCAAGTCACATCCATGGGGTGGACATGCCTTTGAGCTTTGAATATTCCCTTGGACTAGGAATTTATTGCCAGGCAAGGCTTGGGAGACTAGTGTTTAGTTTTGAAAATGAATCGTTTGAAAACAAATCATTTAAGCACTAAGGCAATTGTACAAATTCTCATCAAAACCTGGAATTTGAGCTATAAGTCTGTTCAACCATAGTTTACCTCTTTCTGATCAAGTGTGCCAACACATATTATATATAAGTTTATTCAGGAGAAAAGGAGCTTTCATTTCACATCAAATATTCATATATAAAACGTAATTTATTATTATTTATTAGAAGGGAAAATATTTGCTCTGGTTAAGAATGGCACTCGGCAAGACCTATTTGTCTATCGTAAAAACAAACAATGACTTTTTCAAATTATTTTGTTGTAGTTTGCAGTATTATATTGCATGATTACAATACATTTACTAGACGAAGGAATGAGGCCTTAATAGGAGAACACTCTGAGAACAGACCAAGGGAATAATCCTTAACCAATTATAATGGGAAAAACACATCCTAAAAACAATTTAAACCCAATATGTTATAGACAACAGTTTGAGTATTCAGAAACGTTTGGGATACGGCTGAGAAATCTAAAATTAAAAAACATAAATATACATAGTGTAAATCAGTATCACATAGTGAATTAATGTTCATGAAATGCACTCACAAGATTAGATGAAAAATAGCGCTATACGGTGCCTCCCCTGGTAGTGGTGGGGGGCTGTTATCTTCCTCCAGTTGCTCCAAAAGAATAAATGGAAAACAGGACTCCCAGGATGGTGGAAGAAAGTATAAAGCGGCTTCATGAAGGATGAATCTTCACCCAGCAATAAAAGGAAAACATAAACTTAAAAATTAGGTTCTACGCGTTTCGTTCACAATATGGAACTTCCTCAGGGACCAAAATTAAAATCAAATATTATACAGCAATGACAAAGTATAAAATACAGGGGGGGATGTAATGCGTGTAAAGCTTGTAAGACTGTGACTATTGAGAGATCAAACACCTTTTCTAGTTTCAGTACTGGGAAGGTATACCATATTAAATTGGATAAAGGTTGCCACACGGACTTTGTAGTTTATTTACTGCAATGTCCATGTGGCAAACAGTATGTGGCCCGTACCACAAGAATATTTAAAGTTCGTATACTTGAGCATCTGAACAATATTAGGAAGGGGTTAATCACCCACTCAGGTTCGGCTCATTGTAGTACATGCCCCTCCTTTTCATGAAAAAGTTCAGATGCTTGGGTATTGAAAGAATTACCCCTCACTGGCGTGGTGGTGACAGGATTAAAAACCTATCCCAAAGAGAAACCTTTTGGATCCACCAATTAAAAACATTAGAACCCATGGGATTAACCCCTTAAGGACGGAGCCAAATGTACACGTTGTGAACGAAACAAAATGTAAACAAATTCTGGCATTTGCGCTACATGTCTGTCCAACCGAAATTCACCTCTTTCATAGTAAATGCACCCACCCTTATTATATATCATTTTATTCAGGGGAAACAGGGCCTTTGGGACTTTATAGTAGCCCGGGAATGAAATTTACACCCATAATGGCATACCATTTGCAATAGTAGACAACCCAAGGTATTGCAAATGGGGTATGTCCAGTCTTTTTTAGTAGCCATTTGGTCACAAACTATTTTCAGAATGGTCTGGGGTGTGATGTATTTTTACATATGTGACAGTTGTGTATATTTTTGTATCTTCTCGAACATGTTTTGAAATAAATAAGTGTCACTACAAAGTTACTTCTACCTGAGATCTTGGTCCATCATTATAAACATCTAAAAAAATGAAATCTCCATTTAAGAATATACTTTATTTACTGTAACTAAATCTTGTATGTGGTAAATGTATTGTGTATCTTATGTAAATAATTATTGTGTGTTTTTGTAACATTATAGTAAGTTAGCCTGCACAATATAAGACCAATATTTAACTTCTTGAATTATGTATACTGTATTAGTTCTTTTCAAACAATAAGAATACTATTCCTGTTGGGTTAGTTACCTTTGACAATAAAACTTCTGTTCCATCCTCAATAATAAACCCTGGAAATCCAAATTTTAGTGTAGAATTGTGCTCTTCCGTTTACAAAACTGGTTAATTGAATCTGTTAAATTTGGTGGTTCATTTAGGTTTTATGGAATTTTAATACAATTAAAATATAAAAACTTGTAACAAGTGTTTTCGAGATTCTTAAACAAATGTAAATAAAACATTCATAATTGCAATTATTTTGACTACATTATGAACCTAAAACATTAATCCAGTCTTTAAATTACAAAATTAGAGCCTCAGATTCCGAATGAAATCAGACCTAGTAATGCAGTTTCAGTCAGCATTGCACAAAGTATCTCTCCAGGAGAGAGCCTCACAGAAAGTAAAAGCCCGGAAAAAGTGTCTCATAAATCGTTAAAGTCAAGTCATCCAAAGTTTGCAGGACATGGCAGGATCTTGGCATAAGATGGTTCACAGATTTCTTATTTCATAGGTCTAAAATTAATCAAACTTTAAACTGCGAGGAGGTAAAAATAGCAAGGTGGAAAAATATCGGAGATATACTAGGAGATCAAAATTCACAAAGTCCACTTCACTTCCTGGCCAGAAGCTTGCAAGGTCCTATTTTTAGTTGACTGAGACCCTCATTGGCTATTTCAAGATGAAATATTCCAGGATTATTATTTGATTCCTTCCACAGCGGTTTCCTAAAACAACCAAGTACATTAATAGCTCATTGGCTCAGTTTCTATTGAACAAACTATTGGGTAGGATGGCGTTTCATTCGACATGATTAACGTTGTTGTGTTGATACTGTGCTTTTGGAACGTTTGATGACTAATTGTAACATGTGAGATCACTGGTAAAATATAGGATCTTGTATTTGGAAGGCGGGTATGTGTGTGTGGTGTTGAAGTGCAGTCTTTGAACATGGAATAAACTGGTCACAA